ACTGAAGCCTGAGCAGACCCAAGAGCCATCATTCAGGTGCCGCAGGGATGAGGGACGCGAGCCGACGCGGTACGTGTCTCGGTGGGCTGCAGTGACACTTTCAGGTGCCTCAGTCTGTGCCTTTAAAATCTCCCATCAAGCTCTCTTCACCCTTTGCTACACAAGACTGCTTTAGCTTTTAGGGATACACGAAGAAAAGGAGTTCTAAAGAAATTCTCAGTGGCCAGCAGTGTTTTCAAAGCCTACGTAGGTGGTAAGTCAATGGGGATAGTTCTCACAGTAGTTCCTAAGTCCAGGGGCTGTGTGCTGCTGGAGCTCACCGTCTGGGTAAACTGGGTAACCTGCAAGAGACTGTCCTGCTTTGTGGTGGGAAATGCCTTTATTTGACCTTTTTAAAGGCTTTGGGGGCCCCTGGAGAAAGGGATGGTTCCCAAAACATCCTCAGTGCGTTGTAAGGCTTTCCCCTTACGCATCTGAGCTGCTGCCCATCCAGCCCTCACTGCTACTAGTTTTTCTTTTATTCTCTTTTTTTTTCTTTTACTGCTTGTGGACTAAATTCACGTTTCTGTGCCCTTTTGTCTTCGTGGTGTGTTTTCTCTGTATTTTTCTGTCCACTCCTCTCACTCTCTGCAGAATCTCCACCAGCTCAAACAGATTCACACTCTGAGGCAGATGAATGAGCAACTGCTGGCTGAAAACAGGGCTCTGACCCGGGTCGTAGCCAGACTTTCTCTGCCTGCCAAGCCCTCCGAATCAGAGGAGCTGTAGCTGCTTTCCCGCCGGCTCATCTCGCCTCCCTCTTCCACTCTTCCAGGCAGGTCTCCCCTCCCTTGGCCGGGCTCGTCCCCCTCGCCTCCTTGCTCTGGAGGGTGTCTGGTGAAGCTTGTGGCTCAAAAGCAGCATGTGGCAAAGGATCCTCTGAAAGCCAAAAGCATGGTGTTGCTGCCCAGCTGAAGGCAGGTTCTCGCTGGAGACTCTGTTGGGTCCTGCTGACTTTCGCTCTGCTTGCAGATGATGCTGACCTCGCCGTTTTACTAACCGCCCGCAGCGGGGGGTCGCCTTGTCCCTGTGGAGGAGGTCCATGCCTCCCATCATCCGGGAGAGAAACAGGAGGACGGGCTCCCTGCCTTGATGTGAAGGCGTGGAGTTGGGTGGATGGCACTGAGATGGCTACTGAGGAGTGGCGGGTCAGCTGCTTCCCTGAGGCTTAACGCTGGCAAATGGCTTTGGGGGGCCTTCTCGGTGCCAGTGGGTTAGACATTACCTTACCTCGAAACAGGGGGTTTATGCTATGTGTCGGCTCATAATACAATTCTTTTTTAATTGGACTTAGTTCAGTGAGAAGCTGGCACCCAGAAAATAAGATTATCCAAAGTCAGAATGAACAATCTAATAAATTTCTAGGGATGTTACAAAAAGTGCACGTTTTAGACAGGAAAGTGATTTTTAGAAAACCTACAACTGGGCAGTCCTCAGCAGGTTTTCTTGGTCACTTGAGCAAAGAGAACAAGCTCCTTCCCTCATTTCAAAGAGAGTCTTGAGTTCGGTTTTTGAGCCTGAGGTCCCGGGCTGCAGCGTCCCCGCTGCCTCCGGCGGCCTGGCTGCCAGGCAGGGGACGCGATCGGAGGCCGGCCAGATGCACTTTCTTTTTTCATCTTGTGTTTTAAATTCAGTGCAGAGCAATTAGTGTTTGAAATCCAAGGACAAGCCTTCTGTAAGCTTTGCCCTCACACAACACGCAGTTAAATTCCGTCCTTTCTTGCTCCTTCATTGGCTAAAATCTGTAAATGCTTCTTTCTCAGGGCCCTGCCTGTCTTTTGCAGGTTAGTAGGGATATTCAGGCCCCTTCAGGCCGCCTTTTTTTTAAAAAAAAGGAAGAAGCAGTATGCTCTCGTGGGCTGGAAGTGGCACTAAGGTATAAAAAAATCTATTCTTAGCACACAAATTATATCAAGGATGATTAACTGTAGAAACAAGCCAACCAGGGGAATTGTGGCTTCCCCTTTCCAGGAGTCTCAGTTCAAGACCGCGCGTGTATCGCAGGGGCGGAGGGAGGGGTGTTTCGGGTTACGTGGCCCGCATGTGCCAATGGTCAGGTTAAATGATCTCACCGTTTTTCTGGTTTAAATCTGCGAAAGTATTCTCGAACCTGTCACTGACTCATTCCTTCTCCCAAGCGGTGAGTTTAAGTCATTCTCCTTCCCAACGTGCTTTGAGATCTGAGAGGGAAAATTGAGCAAAACTATTGCCAGAGTCAGGGAAATAATGTTTCACAAGCCGTAAGTCACCCATCTCTCTTCTCCTCCTAGGAAATATTCGCATTATGGCTTTCCCCCTGCTAACCCCGTCTGCTCGGACGTGCCTTGTCTCTCGTGCAGGCTGGCTGCGACGCGGGCGGACTGATCCTTCCCGGCTTGCTTATAGGTTTGCAGTGCGCTGCTGGTGCCCAAACTGGAGAAGAGCCGTGTGTCTGCAAGCCCTGCTGGCTTTTTTTCAACTCTTTTAGCATGTTGCTGGTACCTGTAAACCTTGTCTCACCGGTGTCTGTAGACATCACAGCTACGCAGTAATGTCACTGTTTTAAACTCTGACAGACTTACCACGCTCTTGCAGCAGTGGTGCTTTTCAAAGAATCTCATTTTGCAAAATCCACGTAATTTCTGAAGTGCCGCCTTCTCCAGTGTCACAGGTAACACACAGCACCGCTGCTCGCACCAGCCTCTAGCCCAAAACTCCCTTTACGCCGACGCTGCGTCGCGGTCAGCTTCGCCGTCCCCTGCGGGCTGTGCCGCACCCCTCCGTGCCATTTCCAAGGAGACATTTATAAAGCTTGGGTTTTCAGGCCCCTGCATTACCAGCCTGCTTCACGTGCCGTTTATTTTACCCAACTTGAGGCTGCTTTGCTTCGAAGGGAGGAATGCCCTTGGCCGGGGAGGAATGAAATTTTTTAAGGCTGATTTTTAGTTTTCAGAAAGCTTCACTGGAAGCTGATGGAGTGGGGTTACAGCTGGGAAACTTTTCAAGAAGCACTTGCTTTACATGTGCTTATGTTCCTTCCTTTTCAAATAAATCAACAAAGTTGCATTGAAGCATGTGTGTAAGGCACAGCCACCATCAGAGCTTCCAGTGAGCTGGAGAGCCGGGATGGTTGCTGTCTGATGTTGCTTCTGGAAACCTGTGACAGATTCTGTCTGCCAAAGCAAGTGGCAGAACTTCATATCACGACCGTATTGCAGTGATGGACACATTCAAGACTGCAAGGCCACCCCAAGCAGTGACGTAGAGGACAGGGACTGTCCATCCGCAGACCCCAGTAGGTGGTTGGGGTGTCGCAGTGCACTGGACTGGAAGGCACCGTGCTGTGTTGGGAGCGTTAGGTGAAGCTCAGGAGGAAACGGAGGAGTGCGGAGTCAGACAGCAAGTGCTCTGCCCCTTTCTCTGGGCCCCTGAGCGCTTTGGTGATGGGCGATACCTCTCATGTGGCCGTGAGAAATTGCATAAGGAGTCACGACTGCTGTTCTGGTGACAGCCCTGTCATGGAGACATGCCTGTCGCACCACCGCTGGCTCCAGTGAGACACTTCAGCATCACTAGCTGAAGCTCCGGCCAGCCCATCACGCAGTTGTACCCTTTCCCCGGTATCCCGCCATGCTGCACTTTCCCCCTCCTCTCTCTCTTACAAAACCTCCCGTCTGGAGCATCCACCACCAGCGCCAGCGGGGACGGGGTCAGGCGCGTTGGGGCCAAGCATGGCTTGGCCTGACTGTGAAAGGAGGGAATTGCTCCGGCAGGAGCGGAGGGAGCTGGCGTCTGCCCCGGGAGCTGCCTGCGCTCGGTGGCGGTGGTCGTGGAGGGGCTGCAGATGAGAGGAACGGGCAGGAGGTTGTGGTGAGAGCTGAAACGCCAGCTTAGGAGGAAGGAGAAGGTTTAGTGGGAATTTTGAATTTGGGGGAATTCCTCTAAGATCCTCCTCAAGTCATTGCTGAGCTCCCACCGGTGCCGTTCACACCTGCACGTGACCCCGCTCCACCCTGGCATGTTCCAGCAGGCTCTGGGGCTGGTCCCCTCAGGGCTCCTGGCACCCGTGGTGCAAGTGTCACCTTCTGTGTCGCACCCCGAGACGGGAGCGTGGGGTCTCCTTCCAGTCCCCGAGCGGTGGGGGACGCTCCACCGAAGGTCACCCACCTGCAGGGTGGGAAGCAAGGGGAGTCGGGAGGGGTTTTTGCCAATGAGAAGTGGGCAGGTGTTGTCGAAGCTATTTCTTCTCTATTTCCAACCAAAAGCTCTCTGGCTTTTGTCTGTGTTGCGACCCTTGGTTGAGCTCCAGCCTCGAGCACTGAGGAGGTGTCTCCAGCGTCAGTATGTTCTGCCAGTCTGGCTGTGGCATGCGCGTTTGCATTAAACATCTACGGGATCCCAAGGAGATTGGGTTTATTCTGAAGAGATTGTGCAAGCCAGGCTTGGTCCAGTCCTGAGTGAGAATTTCAGACCTTTTGTTTTCCACTCTAGTCCTGGTAAAATGGAAAAAACAAATCAGAAAAAACAGCTTTATA